AGGTCTGGGCATGAGAAGATAACAGGGGGAGGGGAACCGGAGGGTGGAGGGAATGAACAGGAATTGCCCAAGCAATGTGCAAGATGTAGTCTGGGGAGCTTAGACCAGATGAGATGGTTTTAGAGGGCCAAGTAGGCGAAAACGATTCAACATGGTGCCTTTCCTGAGTCTCTACCAGTGCCCTTACAGTGCCTTTCCCGACCTCTTTGGAGGCAGAAATCGCCTGTGGGTCCCTAGCTCCTGATGCCGAACCGCACCGAGGAATCTTGGGGAAAGACCTTAAAGTCAGCGGCTGCATGCTGGAGGTGTAAGTGCTGAAAGAGTCTGGCATGCTGGGTAGGTGGCTGGACTATTCTCTACCCAAGACTGCACTTCCTTAGAGACAGCACACTAGGGTGACTTCTAAGAAGACTCTTGGTGCAGTGGACCAGTCTTTACCTGCAGGATATGGTACAGTGGGAGCCTGAGGGAAGATCCAGAAAGGTAGGAGCCAGGAGGCAGAGGCAGACAGATTTCTGTGAATTCCAGGCCAGCCAGGGCTACATCGTGAGATTCTCTCTCTTTCCAAAATAAATAAGGAAAGAAGGATAAGAATTACTATTTTAAACTTAATATTCTTTTTCCTCACTCTTAGACACTGGATCTCAGAAGACTCTCGCCTCCTCCGAATTTCCATCATGAACTTTCTTGACCAGCTCGCCCTAGTGGTGAACACCATAAAGCGCTTTGGGCCCCCAGTTTCTCGTTAAGCCTGCCTGGGAAAAGGGGCTCAGATCTGACCTTATGTCGGTTCCCTCCTAAGCAGACAATTTTCTGGAAAACATTCCAGAAATAGTACCTGCTACTTAAATGTGGGGCCTAATATTTTTTTGCCTGACTTGGTCCTCAGGCACTTAGGGGCCACTTGTTTAGTTTGGTGCTCAAATGTTGCTGAAGAAAATAAAGCTGTGCTTCTAATCTGTATTTGAGTATTTTCAACCTCAAGATTTTCTTTGTGTTGGAGGAGAGGTATTTGTTGTATAAAATAAGAGTATTCACCTAATGTTGTGAGGTCCTTGATTCAATCCTCAGCAGTGAAAAACTACATTAGTAGAAAGTAGAAGAAGACAATTACAGAAATAGAGGAAAATTAAAAACACAAGCACCCTGTCATTTGGGGCTCACTTTGGGAAACTTTTGGTATTAGAATTTTATCAATATAATAAATGTGTAGCAATATCATGAGGCCCCTCTTCTGAGGAGATATTGGCAGTTTATGGCTGCTGGGGAAATGGAGTTGTTTTTCTTCAGTAGTGTAACCACTGTTAAGTTGCTCATAATTCTGTAAATAACCCCACATCCATGATCATGCAAGCAACCCTAATTAAATTCAGTGAGGCACTAATGAAAGACATGAAAATGGAGATGTAATTGTTAAGAAGAAGGGGTTGAATAGAGGATAAGAAAGGACAATAGGGGATGGATATATTCAAAATATATACATTGTAAACATGTATGAAATTGTCAAAGAATACTTTTTTGTGTCATTATGTAACCCTGGCAGTCCTGAGACTTGCTCTGTGGACCAGGCTGGCCTCAAACTCATAGAGATCAGCCTGCCTCTGCAAGGTGTGTACCACCATAGCCCAGCTTTAAGATTTATTTTTATTGGGACTGTAGAGGTGGCTAGGTGGTTGAGAGCACTGGTTTTTCTTCCGGCAGACCTCAGTTTGACCCGAAGCACCCATATGCGCTCAAACTGTTTTTATGCCCAGGCCCAAGTCATCTAATGCCCTCTTCTGGCCTCTGTGGTCACTTCATTTATGCGGTACACAGACATACAGGCAGGCAAATCACCTATACACACAAAATGAAAAAAAATTAAAGCACTCACATGGAAGCATGATGACCTTGATTTAATCCCACAAAGTGACAGGAGGGAACCAACTCCTAAAAGTTGTCCTCTGACCTTGGGGACAGCTTGCACATGTGCATATATTACAAACACACACACACACAATAAATATAATTTTTAAGTATAACACGAGTAATAAAAACCGAGACAGATATTGGGGTTCAAGATGAAGATCAAAGAAGCAAAGCAGCCAGCAACTAGCTCTTACCTCTACCTCAGACCAAAATGGGTGACCCTGTCTCCTTGAATCCTCAGAGTGCAATGCAGACTGCACTGCTCTTCACCAAGCCTCAGACTGCAATCCCTAGGGTTCCTGTCTCCTCCGGCCTTATATTCTTCTCTGCACCCAGCCATATTATTACTGTCTCCACCTACTTAGTGCTGGGGTAAAGGTGTGTCACTCCAAGTACTGGGATCACATTTGTGTGAGCTGTTTCTCTTTTGGACTGTATCAATTTCTTGTAGCTCAGGGTGGCCTTGAACTAACAATATCCATCTACTTTTGTCTCCTGTTTCTCTCCTGCGTCCTGAGATTAAAGGTGTGTAACACCATCACTGCCTGGCTCTATGGCTGTGGCTAGCTTTGCATTTTGATCTCCAGTGGCTTTATTAAATCATAAATAATATATCACCACATAAGTATTACAATAATACAATGCAAACTTTTTGCAAGATTATCATTGCAGTTCTTACTAAGTATTTTTTCACCTAAAGTGAATTTTGACTCTTTCTAGTCAATTTGTTTTCTTTTTTGAGACAGGGTCTCATAGCTTAGTCTGGCCTCAAAATCCCCAGCTTCTTATCTTTGTCTCTACCTCCAGAATTCTGGGATCTCAGGCATTCACAATCAACCTTGGCTTATACATAAGAAACAATTTTTAAGCATTGTAGAATAGGCACATATGTGATGCAATTTAATATAATTATTGCACACTTAAAAATCATTTCATTCAGCTCAGTGGTGATGACACACACCTTTAATGCCAGCACTTGGGAGGCAGAAGCAGGCAGATCTCTGTGAGTTTGAGGCCAGCCTGATCTACAGAGCAAGTTCCAGGACAGCCTCCAAAGCAATACAGAGAAACCCTGTCTTGAAAAACAAAAACAAAACAAAAAAAAAGATTGAAAAAAACGGTTAGTTTATGAGCTATCAGTAAGATTTCTTTGAATGTTGTTGATATAACCTAGTGAATTTCACTACTGAAAATGAGTCTTTACTCACCAGGTAGGTTTCCAAAATCCTTAGCACTGCTAATATTCTCCCCCCAAAAAAACTTTGTTTATGTAACAAATAACCCAGAAACAAAGCATAGATTTTATAGCTTCTCCACCTATCCAGGAAAAGTGCCTGACAACTGGCATTTGTAGGTTGACATCAACTCCCCATAAAATATATGTCCTGAAACTTGGCTACACTCAGCCTAGTGGTTAATTTGTAGATTATGTGGTGATATATTATTTGTACAAATAAAGCTTGTCTGAAGATCAGAGGGTGGAGTTTGACTCTAGCTAACCATAAGAGGTAAGGAGGTCTGTACAGGCAGACAGGAAGTGAGATGGCTGGGCGGAAAGAGGAATATAGGCAGGAGGAAACAGGAACTCACTCTCTTTTCTGCTGGGAAGCTAATGAGGAAAAGTTGGCTTTGGCTTGCCTTCTCTCTGATCTCTCAGCATTTCTCCCTTTATCTGACTCCAGACTTTTATTAGAACTCATGTTACATATACCAAGTTTGACTCAGTCTTTTCCTATCACTGTGGAAACTCCTTCCCAGAGCAATTAAAGAGCCTAATACCTATTGTAAGAAATTACACCACCCTGGATGATAGAAGAGCTACAGAAGAGAGAACAAAAGAGTCAGAAAAAAATCACAAAGTAAGTATACTAGCAAACTTCTATAAATGAGCAGAGACAAAAATTAAAAGTATGAATAAATGATGTGTATCATTGAAGGTCTGGTAGACACAGGTGCAGACATAATAATTATATCAAAAGAATCTTGTCATCCAAATTGGCCTCTTCAGAAGGTAAATGTTCAACTTTTAGGGATTGGAACTTTATCTCAAGTAAAACAAAGAGCAAGAGCAAGATGACGCAAATGTATAGGGCCAGAAGGACAGAGAGGAATACTGCAATGAATTTGTGGGGATGTAATTTGTTACAGCAAGGAAATCCTCAGATAAACATTCCCCCAATCATAGAAACAAGCCATAAATAAATGTATGGTTCTGGAAATTTTATAGGAAGGTATTATTAAGAACAATCACCAACCATTCAGGTTGTGCAAGAATAGGACGCAACAGCTGCTAATCTTCCATAGGCACCAACAGCCCTACCTTTATAATGACTAACAGACAAACCTGTTTGAGTTGTGCAATGCCTTTAACAACAGAGAAACTGCAGTCTTTAGAAGAGGTGATACAGGAGCAACTAAATGCTCAGCATATTGAGGAACCAACCAACCCTTGGAATTCTCTTTTATTTGTTATTAAAAAGAAATCTGGAAAATGGAGAATGGTAACAGATTTAAGACCTGTTAATAAGGTAATACGGCAAACAGGCTCTCTACAGTCTGGAATTCCTTTGCCTTCTCTATTGCCTAAAGGATGGCCTCTCATAGTTATTCATTTAAAAGATCGTTTCTTTAGTATACCATTACAAGAAAAGTACTGAGAAAAACTCGCCTTCACACTGCCTACTTACAATAATTCTCAGTCCACTAAAAGATAACAGTGGAAGGCTCTCCCACAGGGAATGTTAAATAGCCCCACCCTGTGCCAATATTTTGTGTGGCAGCCTTTGGAAATAATACATAAGTAATTTCTTCAATCTATAGTATACCATTACATGGATGACATTTTATCTTATTCAAATGTAGATAATTTAAAAGAATGTTTCAAGAAGTAAAGAAAAATTTGCCTTGTTGTGGATCATAAATTGCACATGAAAAATGCAAAGGGGAGATTCTATTAATTATTTAGGCTATAAAATAAGTTTACAAAAAAATTAACCCCAAAAGGTGCAAATTAGGAAAGATCATTTGCAGTCTCTTAATGGCTTTCAAAGATTGCAAAGAGACATTTCCCATCTGTGGCACATTATTAGGATAAAATCTGATTAACTGGTTAATTTAAACAAAACTTTAGATGTTGACAAGGACTTAACAGCTGAAGCTGAGAGAAAATTGGCTTTGGTGGAAGAGAAATTACAGATTGCACATGTGGATGTGTAGACCTGAAGCTTAACTGCATTGTAGTCATATTACCCTCTAAGCATTCCCCTATAGGAGTTTTAATGTAGAGGGAAGATATTATCATAGAATGGATCTTTTTACCACATAAACTGAGCAAAAAGTTAAAAACTTAGGTGGAAAAGATCTCTGAGTAGTTGATTCGAAAAGGAAAATTGAGACTTCATCAACTAGCAAGAATCAACCCAGCAGAAATTATAGTACATTTTACTAATGATGAAATTGATAAATTATGAGTAGAAAGTGAACCTGGGAAAATCGATGTTGTTAATTTTTTGGAAGAGATTAACAACAAATATCCCAAAAGCAAGAAAATTCAACTTATAAAGAGAACTGACTGGATCCTTCCTTGCATTGTACGGAAAACACCAATAACTGGAGCTCCTACATTCTGTGCTAATGCAAATAAATAAGGAAAGGCAGCTTATAAATCAGAAAATTTAAGTAAAGTGGATCTAAGTCCTTATAATTCTGTCCAAAAGTAAGAATTATATCTATTCTCATGGTGTTAATGGATCATAAAGAACCTCTCAACATAGTTACTGATTCACAATATGCAGAAAGAGTTGTTTTTGCATATTGAAACTGCTGAATTTATACCAGACAATACAGAACTGACATTATTATTTAATCAGGAACAGGAATCATCCATATATATCATATGTCACACATCCAATCCCATGGGAGTCACGCCCTTTAGCACAAGGTGATGATCAAATTGATCAACTGTTGATAGGAAATGTGCTAAAGGCCTCAGAATTTCATTAAAAACACCATGTCAATAACAAAGATTTGAAAAAAGACTTTTCCATCACTTGGCA